GCTAAAATGTACTGTTATTAATTCTTGACCATTTTTAGAGTCATGTATGAACCTTACTTCTACTTGTGCCTCTTTTCACTTTTAAAATCTATTCCCTTATATTTCCCTTACAGTAGTCCCTCGCTATTTCATGGTTCAACTTTCACACAGACTCATTATTTCACACATTTTCAAAAAACACTAATCTAAATTATTTACCGCAGATTTTTCACTATAACGCAGGATTTTGCAGTAGAGTATGGTGCTGTACAATCACCTCATTTTCATCATCTTCATCGTTATCAGTACAAGACAGCTGTTTGTCACCTTCACCATGAAGTTTTAGTAGTATCTTCCTTGGGGAGTGCTCATGTAAAATTTTGCAGTATTGTACATTATACATGTGTTGTTACAATTACATAAATTTATGAATTTAGAAAATGGTTAAGAACACCAGAATTTTCTTAAGGAGTCTCCATATTGATTTCCATAGTGGTTGTATCAGTCTACATTCCCACCAGCAATGGAAAAGGGTTCTTTTTTCTCCACAGCATCTTCAGCATTGGTTATTAGTTGATTTCTTGATGATAGCCATTCTTCTGGGGTGAGATGGTATTTTAATATTATTTTAATTTGCATTTCTCAAATGGCCAGTAAGGTGGAACATTTTTCCATGTATTTGTTTGCCACTTTTATTTCTTTCTCTGAGAAGTGTGCATTCATCTCAGATGCCCATTTTTGGATTAGGTCTTCAAATTTTGGGAGCTGAATTTTTTAGCTCTTTATACAGTATAGATATAAGTTCTTTGTTTCCCTAGTGTAAGAACCTGAAAGCCTAAAAAAACCTGAAAGGTATAATAGATATAGTAAAATGGAAAGAAACTGAACCTAAGGATTAAACAACAAAGATGAGAGAAATGGGAAAAGATATGAAAAAAACGAAAGGGGGGGAAATATGCAAGTATATATTCAGGATGGCTGAGACAATTGTACTAATAATTTCCATCAGTGTTTTTGAAAATAGCAGTTATATTTAGATATTTCTGAGCAACTATATCGAGGACAGCAATGTGTAATACAAAACACATATTTGAATACCTCTTGTTTTGGTCTTCTAACTGTGTACTGTTTCTAACGTCTTATCAATTATTATACTCTCTTTAAAATAATTTTTTTAAAAAGGTAAGGAAAAAATTAAGATTTATTGAAAACAAGCATAATATTCAATTATTTGTCCAACTTTGTGTAACTATATCTGTTAATCTGAGCAACAGATTTGACAAAAAAATAATATGACAACCATTGTTTTATTTGTGTGTGTGTGTGTGGCCAGCTCAGCCCACTAGGGGGCGGGGCTGGCTGGCATGTGGTGCTGGGGGATTGAACTGCAGTCCCTGTGTTTTGCTAAGCTTGTTCTAAGTAGGTGCTCTAGACCACTGAGCCATCTCACCAGCCCCAACAACCATTGTTAATTAGCTATTCCTGTTTTGAAAATCTGTAACATATGTATTGTTGTATGTTACTCTCTTTTTTTTCTATTTATTTTTGCTCCTCTTTTTACTGTTCTAACTAAAATAAAATTAAATTTAAGAAAACAACATTAGAAGTGCTTTTAAAGTTGTGGGAAAGGTTTATAAAAGTGCAGGAAGGGCTGAGGAATAGCTTTGTGGTCAAAGTGCCTGCCTGACAAGCTCAAGGACCTGGATGTGATCCCTGGTAAGCATACCATGCAGCCCTGCTACTAGCTGGCCACCAAAACTGGGCATGGTGGCACACACTAGTAATACTAGTGCTAGGGAGGCTGAGACAGAAGGATCACTACAAGTCCAAGCTGCATAGTGAGACCCTGTACCAAATAAATAAATAAATAAATAAATATGTATTTTTTTAAAAAGAGTGTGGGAAGGGTTTATAAAGCCTTAAAATATGTATAAGTACTAAGTAAATATAACACCACTACTTCACTGATTTCTACTTATCACACGGGTGTCTGAAATGTAACCTCCACAATAGATGAAGAACCACTTACACATCAAATGAAGATTTTCCTGTAATTTTTGCTACAGTTATAAAACATTTGAAGAATAAAATAGTCTATCTCATTCGCCCCTATTTTAAACCCATTCTGATGTTCACTATTTCTTTTTGAAGTTCTAAGCCTTCTGTTTTCATTTCTTTCCTGCTTTGAGAACTTCATTTAGTCTTTCTTTATGGACAGATTTGCTAGAGATTGTCTCTATTTCTTCTTTATTCCTTAAGAATATTTTCACTATGGGGCTGGTGAGATGGCTCAGTGGTCTAAAGCACCTAGTTAGAACAAGCTTAGCAAATCACAGGTACCGCAGTTCAATCCCCCAGCACCACATGCCAGCCAGCCCCGCCCCCTAGTGGGCTGAGCTGGCCACACACACACACACACACACACACACACACACAAATAAAATTAAATTTAAAAAAAGAATATTTTCACTAGGTGTAGAATTCACAGTTGACAATTTCTTTCAAGACTTGAAAAACACCACGGCTTTTCCTTTTGGCCTGCGTAGTTTCCAATGAGAAATACTTTTCATTCGAATTCATTTATGGCTATAAAAATAATGTTTCATTTACCTCTGGTTGCTTTCAAGTTTGTTTCTTGTCATTAGTTTTCAAAAATTCATGATGTCTTGAATTTATATGACTTAGAAAGTCCTCGTGTGAAGACAAGCCAGGTGTGTTCTCAGTCTTGCGTGCATTTTCAACCTTGCGAGCTCCCTCATAGCAGACTATGTTCTATTCACTATTGCATCGACAGCACACAGCACAGTGTCTTGCATGAAACAGGAACTCATTGGTCAACTGAATAAGAAGGGGGAGGGAAAGGGGAGAGAAAGAGGGAAAAGGGGAGGAAAGGAGAGGGAAGAGAGAAAGGAGAGAGCAGACGGAGACAGGAGAGAGGAGAGAGGTGAGAAGAGAGAGGAGAGAAGACAGAAGAAAAAGAGAAAAAAAGGAAGAGAAAGAGGAGGGTGCACAACACAAAGAGGCTGAACCAAGAATCAGCAGTACAAGGGAGGAAGGCACGAGTACTTAAAAATGCTAGAAATTATGAGGTATCCTAAATTACATTACGGGTCATAATACATAAGGTAAGATAATACATAAGACATGAAGTAAGATAATTTTAACTCATTTTTCAGGCTATATCAAGAAGGAAAAGAAAGAAAAATACTATCCCATCTTCCTTTCCTGTAGGCTAAAAGAGTTCCTTCCCATGAGGCCACACTGCATTTGGCTTGTGGACCCAATATGTAGCGTCAAAACTGTCTCTTTAAGGGCCAGCCAGCTAGATCAGCAGAGGGGAGGGGGCGGGGCTGAGACCTGAGACCAGCGATTGACACTGGGCGTGGTGTGCCTGGAATCCCAGCCCTTGGGAGGCTGAACACAGGAGGATCACCACGAGTCTGACTTATGTAGTGAGACCCTGCAGACCTTGTATTAAACCCAAACAAACAAACAAAAAACCAAACAAACAAACAAAAAAAAGCAACAACCCTGTCTCTTGATGCATTGACTTTTTTTTTTTTTTTTTTTTTTTTTTCAGAACCTGGAATTGAACTCAGGCTCTTACACTTGCCAGGCAAGTGCGCTTATTTTACTGAGCTATCTCTCCGGCCCCACAGTAGCTTTCTTAATGACTTTGCACACATGGCATCGTCCTGTCCCTTAGTTATAACCTATGTAGGTTCACTGTAGTCAATTCATGCTTCCTAATCCCAAAATTTTATTGTAAGATACCCCAACGCCACTGGTGACTGAGAAAATTTGTTCCATGACCAATCCTTTCACCTCTGGCTAGATCTACTGCAAATCAATATACACTTTCTTTCAGAGACTTCTTAGTTCAATTATTTGCTTTAACACAAAGTGTCCTAAAGTAGGGTTGGGGGACCTTATGTTCAGGAAAGAGAGATCACAGTGTTTACAAAGACATAGATGTGTAAAGCTAGGACTCTGGCCCTAATAAAAACTACACAACTACTCATGCACCTGGACCTTTGCTAAACTCAAACGTGAGACTAGAAAAGATTGGAGGAATGACAAGCCACCCAATGCCAAAGCCTGAGAAGTTTTAGTTTAATTAAGATGAGGGGCTGTTGGCTTCAAAGATGCATGAAATCCCGGGCGTTATCTTCTCGCGCTGAAGCCTGGGTCTCGAGCCGCGCGCATGCGCACCCGGAGAGGCGCCGAGGTCCCCCGCGGCCGCTCTCCACCGCGGCCACGGAAGATGACGCCACGCAGCGGCTCCCACTGAGGCGACGCCTGCGGAGCACGTCATCTCAGCTACGCGGAAGACCGCGCTGTGGAGTCGCGGCCGGGAAGGCCTTGCCCTGCCGCCGGACTTTGGGCGGCACAGACTTGCTTAGAGCGCCTCAGGGAAGGCTGGTCTGGCTACATCAGGCCCCCCGCTGACCAACGGGTGGTTCTGGATCTGCGCGTCCGCGCCTGAGGTAAGGCGGGCGGCGCGCCCGGGCAGGGCTGATGGCGGCGCGCCCGGGGCAGGGCTGGTGGCGGCGCGCCCGAGGCAGGGCTGGTGGCGGCGCGCCCGGGGCAGGGCTGGTGGCGGCCGACGTCCGAAATACTAGTAGTGAGACTCTGAACACCATGATCTAGTAGTGAGACTCTGAACACCATGTGGACCTTTCCCTAAAATACAAAATAATGATAATTGTATTGCTGATTGATGCTGGTCTGTGGAAAGTAGTCAATACTTTTTTTTTATCTCTCGTTAATTTCTTACAACTTTTTTCCAATTTTGCATGCACCTATCTGGTAATGTAAACAACTAATTTGGAGACAGCACTGTGCATCACAACAAATATTGTTGAATTTTTATTTTGTTTAGTGAAATTCTGTATCATTTCTAATTTTTTGTTATTTAGCATTCACTTCTAAAAATAAATACATATTAAAATAAGTGAATAAATCAATAAAGCTTCGAATCCACACGTTGCCATCTTTCCTATCTATTCACACATCCTGTGCTGATTTCTGCTGTCTGGTTCCAGAAACCTGGGGTGCATGCTCTTCTCCTCCCCAGCTGTTGGCCACAACCTGTGCTCAGCAATTGGATTCAGGGTGAGGCTACCTCCGAATATTCCCAAACTGGAATCCCATAGGCTGTCTCCAGGAGAAAGAGTGGGAGGGAAGAGAAAGGCAGTACGTTGACCCAAATTGTCCCATTGTCTGTATTTTCCCCCTTGGGATTCTGCTAGCCTGGCTTAGTATTCAAGGAACATCTTAAGCATTTCAACAAATTGATGTTCAAGTGTGTTTCTTCATTCAGTTTTCACTTTTCATGCTTTTGTGCTTGTTGGCAGCTTTATCAACCTTCTTTGCAGCTTAACTTTACTGATCCTTACTGTCAGCTTATGGAAACAAATTGCAAGTGCCTTCTTGATCCACACTTAAAATCACACTCTCAGCGGAATGATATGCCGAGAACACTGAGGAGCGTTGGGTTCATGACCAGCAATAATAAAGTGAGTAGAAGCTAAGTGCTTGCCTGGCAAGCAAAGGGTCCTGAGTTCAATCTCTGGTACTGCAAATAAATAAATAAATTAAATTAAATAACAATGGTAGAAGCTAATTACCAAGACCTTTGTGTATGTAAAGACCCCACAAACATACACATGTATTTATTTACCAAAGTGTGTTTATTTTGCCCCTAAAATATACTGCAGTGCCTCTTTCCTGGCTATGAACGTAATTTCCTGTGTCATTTAGGAAAAGTATAGACAAAATGGAATTTAGCAGGATTCAGCATGGTGGCATAAATTATTTGCAGGGTATGATAGCATCACTCTTATTTTAGTGTTTTGTTTTAATAACAGTTTGTGAGGTAATAGTAAATTTTTTACTATGGTATAAGCTTTATTAATAAAATAGTATTATTTAGACATTTTATGGTGATAGAGCAATTATACAGAGAAAGTACCTTCAAAAGTGTTATTGAAATTTATTATTAGATTTGATCCCAAAATTTTTACTAAAATGTTTTTTAATAATTTGTCTCTCTAGAAAATGTTATGATTGTTACAAGTTCATATATATTTGGTTTTTGTAGGTAATATGTTCCTTGAATTTAATAAATTAATAATGAATTTAATAAATATAGGCAATATCTGATGTGCTGAAAAATAGATTTTGCAGAGAATATGTAAAATAACATGGAAGTATTGCAATTTGTTATTTTAATTTTATTTTCTTTTATTTGTTTTTATTTTAAAAAATAATAGAAATTAGAAACAATACACAATTTCTTATGTGTGTGTGTGTAGAGAGAGAGAGAGAGAGCGCAATGGTTGTTATATTATACATTGTTGTCTTCAGTATAGCTGCTTAGATTACCAGAGCATGTAAAATTGGTCAAAATATAAACTGCAGGTATTACTGCTCCCTTCAAAAAAACCAATAGAAATTAGAAGTATAATCATCTTAGCTGTCCTGTATATATACATACATGATTTTTCCCCCTTCCTATCATTTTCTCTCTTTATTTGCTTTATCCCAATTGTTTATTCCTTTTGACCAGTTTCTTTCCCTTTTACTATTTCTATTGTTTCTTTCAGACTTTTTTGTTAGCTCAGGTTCTTACACTAGGGAGACAATATGATGTTTATATATGTGGGTCTGATTTATTTCACTTACGAGTATAGCCTCTAATTCCAGCCATATACCTATGAAAACCATAATTTTATCTTTCTTTATAGCTGAGTAATAATACTCCATTGCATAAAAATACTACATCCTTTTTATCTATTCCTCAGGTGATGGACATTTTGGTTGTTTCCAAGGTTTAGTCATTACAAATCATGCTGCTATAAACACGAGCGCACATGTATCATTGTGGTATTTTGTTTTCAGTTCTTTTGGGAAAATCCTCAGAAGAGGAATAGCTGGATTAGATGGGACTTCTAATCTTTTGAGAACTCTCAACACCAATGTTCATCATGGTTGTACCAGTCTACACTCAAACCAGCAGGTATCCTTTTTCCCCACATCCTCTCCAGCATTTGTTATCAGTTTATTTCTTTATGACAGCCATTCCTTCTGGAGTAAGATGCAATATAAGTGCTGTTTTAATATGCATTTCTTGAATGTGCTGTTCAACATGTTTTCATATATTTATTTTCCATTTTTATTTCTTCCTTTTTGAAATGTGTATCCATCTCAGATGCCCATCTTTGAATTGGACCTTTTAATTTTTTAATTTAATTAAATTTTTAAAATATTTATATATTCTAGATACAAATCCTTCTTCTGAGGGACTATTGCCTAATATTTTCCCCAATTTATGGGTCTTCTTTTCACTCTGTTGGTGATTTCTTTTGATGTGCAAGAACTTTTCATTGAGATCCTAGTTCTTGAGTTTTTGAAGTACTCCCCATAAAGTTTGGCTTTTGTTCATAAATTCTGTGCCTACCACTATGTCTTCAAGAAATCTACCAATTTCTCTTCCACTAGATTTAGTGTTTGTGCTTTTTTAAAAATTCATTAATTAATTTATTTATTTAGTGTGTGTGTGTGTGGCCATCTCAGCCCACCAGGGGGCGAGGCTGGCTGGCATGTGCTGGGGAATTGAACCGCGGTTCCTGTGCTTTGCTTAGCTTAGCTTGTTCTAAGTAGGTGTTTTAGACCACTGAGCCATCTCACCAGCCCATAGTGTTTGTGTTTTAATGTTTAGATCTTGAATCCATTTTCATTTTAGTTTAATGCATGTTGATAGACATGGTTCTATTTATTGTTTTCAGCATGTAGAAATCCGTTGTTTCCAGCACCATTTGTTAAAGAGGCTATTTTTCTTCCAGTGAACATGATTGGCCCCTTTGTCAAAAATAAGATGGCTGAGTGTGTTTGTAGTTGTATCTGCATCTTCTGATCTGTTCCGCTTATCCTTGGGTCTGTTTTTTGGCCAGTACCATGCTGATTTTATCACAGAAGCTTTGTAGTATAATTTCAAGTCAGAATTCATGATGCATTCTTCTTTGCCTTTGTTGACCAGGATTGCCTGTTTACAAAGTTTTCTCTGCATCTGCGAAGGATGCTAATGGTATTTTGATTCGGGTTACATTAAATCTTAATAACAGTTTTAGGACTATGGCTATTTTCACAATGTTGGCTCTTCCTATCCATGAGCAAGGAATGTCTTTCCATTTTCTTAAATCTTCTTTGATCTCTTTTTAGAAAATTGTGATTTTTGTTTTATAGATCATTTGCTTCCTTTGTTAGACTAATATGCTATGAAAGTCACATATCCTTCATCGATCAAATATATTTATATGTTTTTTAAATGCAACGATCAGTATTCAAGCATGGTTTTTGTATTACACGTTGTTGTCCTCAATGTGGTTGCTTAGTTCCCAGATATCAGCATACAGAGTTAGTCCTAACTGCTATTTTCAAAAAAACTGATGGAAATTCTTATGAGTATTTTTGCATCTGTGTTTATTAGGGAGATTGGCCTGTCCTTCTCTTCTTTGGTTAGGTCTTTCTCTAGTTTTGGTATCAGAGTCATACTTGCCTCCAGAAATGAATTAAGGAGCATTTCACCCTTTTCAGTCTCACTGAAGAGTTTCAGGAGTATTGGCATTAAATCTTCTCTAAATTTCTTGGAGAATTCCTCTATGAATCCATGAAGACCTGGGCTTTGCTATGCTAGTAAGTTTTTTTTGCTGTTGTTACATTTTTGTTTTCTTTAACTGATAATGGGTTATTCAGAATTTTTACATCCCTGATTTGTAGCAGTAAATGACAGTGAGCAAAGATAAACCCTTCAAAAGAGACCAAATTTAGAGGAACAAGGAAGCTTTATTGGAGGCTTACAACTGACGGATGCCATAGCTCTGGGTCAGGACTCCCAAGGTTATCAGCCCCCATGTCACTTTGCTTGCAGTTCATATGATTTTCAGGTCTCTGTGGTAACCACATGTCATTTTCAAGGATTTTACACGAATGTCAAACAGTTGCCCCGAAGGGTATATTTCCAAGACATTGCTGACCATCTCTCTGTCCTGGGATATTTTAATGTACTATTTACACTGTTTCCCAAGTTGCTCTAATTGTGCCTATTTTATGGCACTGGTGTTTTTCTAAGTGGGTTTATGACTAGCTACATAGGAGGAGGTGAGGGAGTGAGTTTATCTGTGGTTGAAATGAACTTAAGTGAGCCCTCCCTTAAAATGGAGTCTCTTTTACCCCGTCAAAGTCAGTTTTGGTAATTCATACATATCTAGGATTCTGTCCATTGTTTCTGGGTTTTCCATCCTATGAGAGTAACGATTTTCAATGTAGGTATTGATTAACTTCTGAATTTCCAGAGGCTCTGTAGTAATTTCAACCTTTTAATTTCATAATACATGAATATGAGTTTTTCATTCCTTTTTTAGATGAGGTTGGCTAGGGGTTTATCAGTTTCATTTTATTTCAAGGAACAAACTCTTTGATTCATTAATTCTTTGTATTATTTTGTCTCAATTGCATTAATTCATGCTCTTTGTAATTTTCTTGCTCCCTTGGGCTTTGTGCTTGACTTGCTTTACTTTTCTGGAAGCATGAGGTTTAGAATTAAGTTAATTATTTGTTCTCATTCTGTTTTTCTAATGTGAGAGTTCACCACTGTCAATTTCCTGCTGAGGACTGCTTTCATTGCATCTTATAAATACCAGTAAGTTGTGTTTGAAATTTTATTGGATTGTAGATAATGTTCAATTTCTGCTTTAATTTCATCTGTGATCCATTGTTTGTTCAGGAAGTTCTTATTTAATTTTCATGTGTTTATAGAGTTTTTGCAGCTGCTTTTGCAGTTAATTTGCAGTTTCGTTGCACTATGGTCAGATAACATGCATTGGATAATTTCAATTCCCTTGCATTTAAATATCTTTTTTAAAAAAATGTATTTAGGGGGATTGATCCCCAGGCCTGCTGTGCGGGCCCCACCCACCTGACTCATCTTTGACTTTTTCCTATTTGTACATAGTCCCTTTCCCAGAGTTTTCCCATTTTAATCTACTCCTTACATTCTCATAACTTGCCTTTCCTAGTTGTATTGCTCCTACCCTAATTACTGCAATAATTTGTCTTCAGGCCTCTCTTCTTTTCACCTGTACTACATGTCTTTGTGAGTGTAATCTTCCTGAAAAACAGCTATGGAATCCCATTCCTATACTTGAAAATCCTCAGACATTTCTCCTTGCATGTTGAATAAATTGCAAACCAGTTCATTCTGCTGAAGTGGATGGTGGGTGTGGGGAAATTACCCTGGCCACGGAAATTTGAGCCAAAGGTTAGGGAGTTTAGGCTTATCCTTGAGGCACTGGTGAACCAGTGGCCTTTTTAGGCAGAGAAATTCAAAATGGCATCATCATTGTATCCAGAGATCTACTGCCTTTCTTACAAAGACAAATGCATCCATGAATCTGCCAAGTCTAGATCATATGGCAGCCCAGCAAAGAAAACTATATCCCTTCACATTTAACAACATGAATTTGAGATATAAATATAAAATTCTCCTTATTTTCCTGAGGAATCAAAAGTGTCTTCCCTCATTTTGAAGTTGCTTCTCGCAAAACAAGTGCACTAGACAATCTCAAGTGAATATTCCAGAGCAAGGAACAGAGAACACTTCTTTTTTACCAGATGTAGACAGAAACAGAAAAATATGAAATTATGATTAAGATTGGTAAAAAAAAATTTCCACACATTAAGTAACTATAAAGCATTGTTCTCCAAATTGAACCATTTTAGTATGACTTTTTTTTTTTTTTTGGTAATAGGGATCAATCTCAGAATCTTGCATTAGCCAGGCAGGTGCTTATGCTATTGAGCTCTCTCCAGCCTCTTCTATAAGATTTTTTTAAGAATTAAAATGTGAATAAATAAATAAAATGTGGACTCCATAACAGTCCTGGATTACTTGTCCACTGACGCCCATAGTTATCAGTTATGTTAGTGTTGCCACAGTGAAATTGTGATGAGTTAAAAGTAGTAACTTGTGAACTGGAAAACAAAAGAATTGTTAGATCAAAAATTTGAATACTTAGTGAAATAAACCAGACCCACATCTGTAAATATTGTATTGTCTCCCTAATATAAAGATTTACAATTCCGTATATGGTTAGGTTTCTAAATTTCTTTGTAAAAATATGTAAATGCTTATTTCTACTTTTATATAATTATTTTTCCTTCATATTCTGTAAGGACTTAAAGTTCAACATATCAATATCTGATGGAAAATACTTGTTCCATGATATACCATAATGTTTGATATTTAGACAGATAGGGTAAACCGAACTGCATTTATTGCAGGTTAATAATTAGCTTCTCTTCTGGAGGGTTAACAACCTAAGTTAGCAGTTCAAAATTGGAGAAAAGGAAGGACTGCAAGGTCAGCTAACATTTTGGCCCTAGCTTTCAAGGTCAGTGAAGACTCGGGACATAGGAGAACCTGTACTGTAACAACATGTAACT